GTTCCAAGTTCAGCGTGGCTACTTACAGGAAGCTGAGCAACCTCGGGGCCAGTGAGTTGGCCCTGAGCCCACTTCACCTCTGTGACATGAAGGCCAGCCTTCCTGGCAGACTGCGGAGGGCCCTAGAGGGGCTGATGGGGGGAGGCGCTGGCCGATTGCCTCTTCACCCAGCGGCAGAGGAAGGAAGGTGGGCTCAGGAATTATAAATGGGACCAGGGACATCTGAGTTTATTCTTTTAAAAAATGTCCTTTGCCTGAACTAGTTCTTTGTCCCCTGGGGCTGTCACCGCTGGGCTGGCTTTCCTTGGAGTGAGTCTTTGTAAAGCATTTTAAACTTGACGCCACAGTTGCCTCCTGAGGTGTGGCTCACGAGGACCTGCCCGGTCCAGCCCTGCTATCCCTTTTAGGAGGAGGACGAGGAGAAGGAGGAGGAGGAGGAGGTGGACGTTATTATTTACTGACCTTATCACGAGCATTGCTCTAAGCACTTTACGTGCATTATCTAATTTAATGCTCATCACAACCTGGTGGCCACTCTCATTATCCCATTTGATAGATACGAAAAAGACAGTGCAGACTTGCCCCTTGAGCCTTGGTGGGAGTGGTCCATGCCATGGAGTGAGGTTGGAGGCTGAGACCCCTGCCCTGCCACACACGCCTTCTCACTCTTCTTTGCCCCCCAGTTTCACGTCACAGTCAAGTCACCTCCCTAGCAACCCTGAGAGGGCATAACGCCAGTGACCCTTAGGAAGAGCCCTGATGGCCCTGACTCCTGCTTCCAGAGGCTCCAGACGGCCCTCTGGGGGCAAAGCTGGTGTGCAGGGGTGGGTGAAGGGGCAGTGAATGGAGGGCTGTTTGCCTGATGGACAGCGCTGTCCTAGACGCTCTGGTCTTCCTCAGGAAGCTCCTTCCCCTTTTTGATGTGTGGGACAACTCCTCCTTCTCTGCCCCTCCTGCCTGTGCCCCAAATGAGGCTACCACGGGGGCTCAGTGCCCGGCCTGGTCCTCTCCTTTTCCCGCTCCAGCCCGCTGCTCAGTAAGCTGTCGTCCCTCAAGACCAGTGACCTCTTGCATGTGCCTTATTGCCCACCTGTGACCACCTCAAATGCAAACTGTCTGAAGCCAAGCTCCTCCCACCCACCCCCCACACAGGCCTCAGCTGGCCCAGCATCCCTGCTGGAATCCCCACCATGGATGCCCCAGGGTCTCACCCGGCCAGCCCCTGCCCTTTCTGCCGTGGCCTCCTGTACCCAGAGCTTCCTCCCCCCTCCCAGGGCTGCCCCACAAACCAGGCTGGAGCGCCTACCCCAGTGGCCACCCCTACATTTTCTCCCAGGCCAGCCCATCCAACCCTCCTCCACCGCCAGTGTAATCTTTCTGCAAACACAGTCTCCCCATGACACCCCCAGACCAGAAGCCACCTTGCCCCTTTGTCCTCAGCCAAGGAATTACTGGGTCCCCCTACCCTGCATGTTTCTCCTCCTCCACCTGCACACACCCTCCTCTCTGGGCAAACCCAGGATCCCCCCATGCCTGTCTCTTGCCACCCTGTGAGCTGTGGAGCACAGTGCTCAGCATTGGCTCTGCACCCAGAGAGATCTGGCTTCAACTCTGTCTCCACCGCTCGCCAGCTCTGGGACACTGGGCAATGGACTTAACCTCACGAACCCTCAATTTCTCCATCTGTAAAACGGGATTAGAGGGTTTGGATGAGATGAGGATTATGAAAAAGGAAAGTGCTTTGTGCAGAGTCTGACCATACGAAGTGCCACACACCCAGGAGTATGGCCCTCCAAGTCAGTTCGGCTGCCTCCTCCCTCAGAAAGCCCTCCCTGGTTACAGGGACCTCGTCCATCCTGATTTCGTGGCGTGTTCAGTTATATTATGCAGTCCTGCCCTGCTGGTCTCTGTGGGATATTAGGCAAGTTGCCTTCTCCTGTATGTCAGATACTTCGTCTGTACAGTGGACATGAAAACAGTACCTACCTCATGGGGTGAGTGAGTGACTCTGTGTGATGTGCCTGCACATAGAAAGTGTTAACTAGTACCAGCTTTACCACTGACCCATGGCATTTCCTCTGCCCACCCTTCTGTGTCCAACACTCTAAGCACCCTGGGTCAGGGACAGACACAATCCCTCCCCGCGGCCTCACACAGCACCTGGCAGTGCATGGTGAGAACCTGAGCCCCACCCACTCTGCCTTCCCACCCTGGTCACCTATCAGCAACTGGAAGCACCACTGGACTCAGACCTTCCAAGCTCCTTGAATGTCAAGGCGTGGAATGGGAATTCCAAGACTTGCCTCTCCTGGGGCCTGTGGGCTATCCAGAAAGCCCACCCTGCCCATGAATGCCCTCCTGTCTCTCCCAGGGATCCAAGAGAGTCCCCCTCTGCTGCTCCTAACAGCCTCTCCACTCCCCGAGCAGCCTGTCCCTGCCTTGGTGAGGGGCCCCAGGGCAGAGTGCCACCACTACAAGGAGCCAGGAGGTGGGCGTGCACGCTGACACGGGCCAGGGGCTAGTGCTGGGTGTTTATTGCCTGTGCCATCGACCCGCACAGCTCGCTGTTGATCTGTCTTCCTGACACACCTAATTACCCAGGTTGCAGCTGCCAGCGCGTTTGCTCTTCCTAAATCACAGGCTCCCATCCCTCCTGTCGCCCAGGCCTCCGGGCCTCTGCCTGCAGAAGGGCTGCCATTGATTTTGCCGTTCCCGTTTATGATCTACAAGACTCTGCATCGCTGTTGCACATTTTACCTTAATTAGTTTATTCTTCTGGACGTCCCTGGTGAGCTCAGAGCCAGGAGGCTGGCAAGGGAGAGACGCTAAGAGCACATGGCACCCCAAATTCCTCTGGCCAACAAAGCCCAGAGCCTGCTCAGCCTCCTAGGACAGCAACATACTAAGATGGGTGCTGGTTCTATGGGGCACTAAATAGGTGGGCTTCCAAAGGGTTTCCATGGCCAATATGTGTGGGAAAGACAGGACTCAATAAAATTAAGAGGGTGATTTATTGCAGGAGTTTTCAAAGTTTTAGTAGACGGACGTCTGTTGAAAATATTTAGGAGTTAGGCAAGTGTGTAGTCTTTTCCAAACTCAAATGAACGTGGAATCCTTTCTCCAGGCAGCTGGCATGGACCAGGGTTCCACAAAGCACACTTTGGGAACTAGAGATGATGAGCCAGACAGAGGGGAACAGAGTACCCACCCCCTGACCCTGGCCTATTTTTTTCTTCTTGTTTAGCTGAGGCAGAATCTTAATGGGGGCTTCAGAAATTTCTCACACTGAATCCAGAGGTGCCCATCCAAGCTCTGCCAGCTCCAGCTGCCAGCAGCTGCTTCTTGGCCCAAGCTTTGGTGGAGTGTAACCAAGGCACTTCAGGAAGGGACCAAGCTAGCTGAGGGGTCCCTGGTTTGACAGAGACGGACAAGCATTGCTTGTTGTTGGTGAAGGCTGGAGACCCAAAAACCTACAAGGGCCATCCTCAGAGGCTCCCAGGCATCTGGAAGCGAGGACAAGCTCACCACTGCTTTCAGAACAGCTCGGATGACAGCAGCCCAAGTTCAAGCCCCTTCTCCACTGTCCTGAAGTCCAGAACACTCCAAAAGCCTCAAGCGCTGTTATTTAAGTTTGTGGGAAATTCAATGGATAGTTAGCAAAACATAGCCCGAGCCGATGTGAACTATTTATAAGCTTTATTTATCCCACTTAATGTGAATATTCATGTTTCACTGCAGAAATATTAATGTGTTTAATTATGGGGTGCCACCCCCCAGTCCCTGCTGGGGTGTTATATAACCCATGGTATGCGCACCGCGTTACCTGTCTGAGATAAAAATCTAAATTTCTAGACACATTTGGGCCCCAGGGGTTTCTGTGAGGGGCCCTGGGCCTGCGGTGGTGTCAAGCTGCCACTGCCCTGCCTACAGGACCTGTGACCAGGGCTTCGTGTGTGTTTTCTCATGTGACGCCCACAGCGACAGTGTGCATGAGGCACAGCTCTTATCACAGTTCTCAGATGAGGAAACCAGCGCCAGAGGATGAGGAACTCACCAGTGCTTCAGTTTCCCTGCTGGCCTCCCTCCCCGGCCACACAGCACTGGGCCGACCCGCACCTGTGGATCCCCAGAAACCTCCCCTACAATCACACTGCAGACCCTCTCAGTAAACTGGAATGTGGTTGCCACTGCCTTTCTCTTCCACAGATAAGAAAACTGCAGCCTAGAGGTCCTTTGTCATCCCTGGGCTGAGCCACTCGAGGGACTGGGATCCGCTTCTCTCTCCTCAACGCCACACTCACAGCCCCTCACACTCCGTCCCTCACTTTCCCACACCCACACATGCACATGTTTGCACGCCCATTCTCTCCTGCTACTCACTTGTTCTCTTACACACACTTGCACACTCTGACCCTGAGCACTCATTCACACTCACAAAGTCACTGACTCTCACCAAACCCCTGCAGTGCACAGCTCACGTCTCTATAGGACTTCGGAGAGTAGCTCATCTATAAAATGGGGAAATCATTTCTATCTAATAGCAGCTACCATTTTGGGGGGCACCGTGCCAAACCTTTCATGTGCAGCATCTCATTTATTCCTTGCAGTAAACTTGACTGTAGGTATTATTGTCATCCTCATTTACAGACAAAAACTGGTCGCAAGCAACTTAACCAAAAATCTGGAACCCAGAAGTAGAATTGAGGCAGAAATGAGATTGCGCCTCGCTCTCATTTGCTCTAAACCCCAAGTTCATAACTGTTGTCCTGTCTCCCTCAGCCTAAGCCCACTACCTCTTCCAGGGCCAACCAGAGGGTCAATTCACAATGAAAACACCTAAGCACCCCAAATAGCACAGTCTCAGCTACTTGAGGTCTTGCTTGCCACGAAGGACCACCATGGTCCCAGCCACCTTGTGGCAGATCCCAGGAGACACACCCAGAGGCCAGAATCTGTACCCTGGTCCATCCAATCTGATCCTCCCTTTCTCCTCTCTCCAGGGGTGGCCACATACACAGACAAACTGTTCAAGTTCCGCAATAACCGGTGGGAAGACATCCTGAGTGACGAGGTCAATGTGGCCCGGGGCGTGGCCAGCCTGTTTGCCGGACGCTCTGTGGCCTGTGTGGACAGGAAGGTGAGTGCAGGGGCACATGGGGGCCTGGGAAGAAGTGGAAGCACACGATGATGTGACAGCCAGGAGAGGAGCCACCGGGTAGATGTCCTCTGACAGAATGGTGACAGAGCTGCCTTGCCCAGGCTGCACAGCCCTGGTAGCTCCCACAGGGTCTTACACGAGGCAGGTACTAAGTACTCACAGCCGAGACTTGCAGGGTGAGTCCTGACGTACCTTTCGAATCCTTACTCCCATGGAGCCCTTCCAGCCACCTGTGTGGAAGCAGCCAGGTGTGTCATCGTTGTGTCCATTAGACTCTTGAGGCCCAACTTGCAGCAGTGACTTAACCTGGGGACTCAAAAGACATTAGTGGCACAGCTAGGACATGAAGCAAAAATCTTCCAGCTCTAATCCTCGTGTTCGTTCATCCATTGATTCATTCAGCCAATATGTGCAAGTGCCTCCCATGTGCTGGGCCTTGAGCCCTGGCCCCCTGGAAACATGTATGGAACTAATGAAGGCACCACAGAGGGGCTCAGAGGCAGGCAGCTACGGGGCTGCCAGAATGTGCAGGCACTTGAACTAATCGATAGCTCCATCAGCACCCTCTGCCCTGCTAGTGCCCCCTCCCCTAAAACGCATGGAGAACTCTGGCGGAGCTGGGAGGGCAGGAGCAGCTGCAGCCGTCTGCCCCATGTGGGGAGTAGCCGCCTGCCCAGGCTTGGGTCCCAGAAGACCTAGCCAGAGCTGGAGGGTTGCTGTGGAGGTGATTTATCCCTCCTGTCACCTGCTCCCCTGCCACCCACCTCCTTGGCTTTATAAACAGACACCACTGAATAGGGTCCCAGCTGCTGCCCTGTTTCCACAGGAGCCTCTCTGGCCCCCGTTCTAGGGCAGGGCCGAGGGGCTGGGCTCATTTTGGATGGAGATGGCACCAAGGGGATTGGGGATTCAGCGTGAATCTTCACAGCAGGGGCCTCCAGGCCTTGGGAGAAGGCAGGTGCCAGGTATAAATATTTATTTCTTAACAAGCTGGTGCTGGGAGGAGAAGCCAAGCTGGGCTGTGAAGCTGCATTTAGCCCTGACCTGAATCGGTGCCACCTGGACGCCTGCCTGGTGGGAGGGGACGGCAAGGCGACTCTGTGAACAGCCCCCGAGAATGGGAAGGGTAAAGGGGTGCCCGGCCTGGCCACAGCTGGGGCCTCCTGCCCCGCTCCTCCTGGCTTCCTGTCTGCCTGGGTCAGGACAAAGGCTTCCCGCTCTAGCTAAAGCGAGAAACTTCTCTGAGAACTGGAGGGAGGGGTGTGAAGGTTAATCGGAGATGCACTCTTTGTCCTAACAAGGTCATCTGCACACCCACACAATTAACCACAGGACAAAGGCTCCATGCGAAATGGGAAAAAAAAAAAAAAAACCCTGGCACCGCAGAAGGTGCCCCCTCTCAGCCCTAGCTGCCAGCCTCCCAAGCCAGAGCCCTGCAGGCAGTAGGCACCAGGGAGGAGCTGCTTCTGGACTCCAGTCACCACCATCCTGGGGCCTGAAAACTGTGAGGGAGGAGTGGGGAGAGGCCAAGACCAGTGTGGAAGCTGAGAGAGAGGAATGGGTTGTGGTGGAGGAAAACAGGAGTATGGGGACCACGATAAGAACAGCTCATGCTTATTGGACTAGACTAACAGCTTGCCCCGCTCTGTGCTGAGTGATTGACAGCCCTCGGGGCAGGAGTCCTTATAGGAAGCCTATGATGTAGAGGCTGTCTGTATACCATTGCACACATACAGAAACTAAGGCTTTGAGCAGTGCAGCAGCTTGACATTGGTCCCATGGAAAGTGGAAAGCAAAGCCAGGAATTGAGCCCTGCCTGCCCCAGAATGCCACAGACAACCTTTTTACCCTCTGCTACCCTGTCTCTGGGTGAAATGATCAGACACACATTTCTAACCACAGCTGGTATTACAGCATTCACCCCAATAATCCCCCTTTAGCTCCACAATCCCTATCAGGGGGCTCGGTGGCTACCTGGCCAGGTGGTCATCCCCAGACCAATAGCATGAGCGTTGTTAGACGTGATAATTCTCAGATCCCACCCGACTCCACCTTCCAGACTCGACAGAATCAGAAACGCAGATGGGCCCAGCAGTCCTGGGTTCCTCTAGCCCTGCAGGGGATTCTGATGCAGGCTGAAAGTTGAGAGCCACGGAACGCCACATGCTTGCTGTTCCCTTCCCCTCCTCACATACTTCTCCTTCATTCTCTGCCCCAACCCTGGAGCACCTGAGCTCCTGTCCTTTATCCACAGCTGCCTCCTCACTCACCACCTTTCCAGACTGTGCTCAAAGCCGATCTCTTACAAGAAGCGTTCCCTGGTCGATAATGATTATGCCTCATGTTTATATAGCATTTTTATCTTTTCAAAGACCTTTCACATACGTTGTCTCATTTCATCTTCTCAACAACCCTGCCAGGAAGCAGGGGGAATCTGATCCTCATTTAGCATGTGCAGAGATGCAACCTGCAGATGGGGAGGGATGTGCCCAGGGATGTGGAGCCAGTTAGTGGGTTGAGGCTGGACCCAGGCTGATGGCCCCAGACCAGCGGTTCTCCACATGGGGTTTCGAGACCAGCAGCATCCACTTCACCTGGGAACTTGTTAGATATGCACATTCTCAGGGTCCACTCCAGACCTCTTAATCAGAACCTGTAGTGATCAAGCCCAGCATGTGTTATAACAAGCCCCCAAGTGGTTCTGATATAAGCCAAAGCACAGAAAACTCTCCAGAAACACCCTCCTTCCCCTTGGAATCATCCCACCGTCTAGGAATTATTGTGGTTAAGTTCACATGTGAATTTCTGCAATCTTCTACAACTATAACACATCTATGTTTATCTGCTTTATCACTCCAATAAATTGAAGTAAGAAATTAGGTATAACTGAAATTTATAAATCTCCTAATTTCTACCAAAGTGCATTTCAGTTCATTTGGGCTTAATTGCCCATTTGTTGATGAGCTTGCTAACAGCTGGTGGGGTTAGAAATGGTTTGGAGTAGTTACACTTTCCCATTTGGCCTCCTGCATCCACTCTTCATCCAACCAGCCCACACATGAAGCTCCTGCCATGGGTGAGACCCCTTCAGAGTTCTTTCTTAATCAAAAAGGCATGTTTTAGCCAGACACAATGGCACACACGTGCAATCCCAGTGACTCACGAGGCTGAGGCAGGAGGAGTCCACGTTCAAGGCCAGCCTTGGCAACTTAGCAAGACCTTGCCTCAAGATAAAAAATTAAAGTGCTGGAGATGTAGCTCAGTGGCAAAGTGCCCCTGGGTTCAATCATCAGTATAAAAAATAAATAAATAAAAAGGCATGTTTTGAAGCAGTGCATCTCAAACTTCGGTTTCACCTAGGACCCGTGGGATTTTGTTAGAAGGCAGATTCTGATTGAGCAGGCCTGGGAAGTGCTGAGATTCTATATTTCTAACATGCCCACACATATCACCAATGCTGTGGTCCAACGACCACTTTGAGTATCAGGATAGGTAAAGCATACCCAAGGAGCAGACTAGAGACATAGGTAGCCCACACTGAGGGGGAGCAGCTTCACCCCCTTACCAGAGCCACCCCTTGACACTGATTCACAGTCCAGCAGCTTTGAACCAACTGCCTGGGCTTTCCCTGCATACACCATTCTTTCTCATCTCTGCCTGGAAGGTTCTTTCCCCTTCTCACTTCACCTGACCAAGACTCCTCTTGGAAAACCTTTACCAAGCCAGGCACAGTGGTGCATGCCTATAATCCTGGTGGCTCGGGAGGCTGAGACAGGAGAATCTCGAGTTCAAAGCCAGCCTCAGCAAGAGTGAGGCACTAAGCAACCCTGTCTCTAAGTATAATACAAAATGGGGCTGGGGATGTGGCTCAGTGGCCAAGTGCCCCTGAGTTCAATCCCCCGTGACCAAAAAAAAAAAAAAAAAAAAGAAAACCTTTTCCGCACTTCCCATGGCAAGGAAATGCTCCTCTGTGTTAGAAGCACCATTTCTGTGCCCCCCAAAAGTCCTGACAGAATCTGCCATGCACTTGTGTGCTTATTGATGCCTCTGTTTCCCCCAGAGACCCCAAATTCCTTTTCTATCCTCACCCACCTATTACACAGACCAAAGTGGCTCTTGATCAGCTTCCCCCAAAGAAAATGGTTTTCATAAGAACATGTAAAACAGTGACCAGACAGTGGGACAAGGGTTCTGGTTGCCTCAAGCACAACTTTTTCTCTTGTGTCCTTTTGTATGTCTTGCCTTTCAAACTAGACTCGATGCCACCTAAGGACAGGGGCTTTTCTTCTGCACATTTTTGTAGAGCACCTTGCCCATAATTGGAGCTCAAGAAATATTTGCTAGAGGGGAAGTAATAGAAAAGTATAAATGGAAAACTAGAAAACTGATTCAGAAGTTGTGTGGATCTCTTGGGAAGAAGGGAGCATCCATTGAAAAAAAATAACACTATTATAATAACAGGCAGAGAAGAATCTTTTATCAGCAATGCTTTGGACTACAGGGGAGAATGGCGACAGCAAGAGGCTCTCTGGCGCCCAGGGCTTCTCTTGGATGCAAAGGGAGAAAAAAATTGAGACAGTATTATAAAGACAGAAGCAATCTTTTTTTCTGGTAATACGGGGAGAAGAAGGGGATGGAAGAGAGAAGGAAGATCCCTGCAAATCTGTAGCCTCTCCGGCTACCAAAATAGAAGAATGGAGAATCACAGGGTGGGAAGAAGGAGAGGGAGAAGGCTCCGGAATTTGCTTGTCATCTTGGCTGGAGTGGGCTTGAATGGGAGAGAGAGAGACTGAGAATAATGGGAATTGGTAGATCAATCAATCAGCAAATATTTATTGAGCAGCTACCCTGGCTGGCAGCTGGAGAGAGCTCAGCTGGAGGGAGGCACATTAGAAAATTGTCTATAAAAAGGTGGTTGTGGGGGAGAGGGAGGGATGTGTTCTTCTGGAACAGGATGGAAGGAGAAGCAGGGCTGCTTTGTTGTCCGCCTGGGGGCGGGTGTCACTCATCACAGCCTTTGTGAAAAGCCCCCTGGAGAGGTGGTGCACACAGCCTGCCCAACCCAGAACCCAACCCAGCTATGGGCCTGGGGAGGGGGCAATTTTCTGGGGACAACTGGGATGGGCTCCTCACCCACCTCCTTCTCCTCTTCCTCAGGGCTCCGGACGCTACTCTATCTACATCGCCAATTATGCCTATGGTAACGTGGGTCCTGATGCCCTCATTGAAATGGACCCTGAGGCCAGTGACCTGTCCCGGGGCATTCTTGCACTCAGAGATGTGGCTGCTGAGGCCGGGGTCAGCAAATACACAGGTATGCAAAGGGACATGGAGGCTGTGAGCAGAGGGTCAGGGGCTGGGGTCCAAGTCCCTGAAAAGTTGAGTCTAATTCATCAGAGACCACAGGACAGATGAGCTTATGTCCCTGCGGAGGGGAGGATGAAGGCTTTGTTCCACCCCACCTTGCACAAGGCGCTCCTCCAACCCTGTCTCTCCAAGTGTGGATGTGACATTTGGCAGGCCTGAGCTTTGGGGGCCAGCAGGGGACACCAGGCATCAGAGGTTGCCAGAAAGTGGGGTGAGACGACCACCACATGATCCTGTCCCTGGAACCTTGTGCCCCATTCCCAGCAGTGTCCCCAATGATGGGCGACCAGTTTCTTCTGTAGGAGAAAACGGACCCATCACCAAAGCCAAGATTTAAAGCATTCTTTATTGCCAAATAGCAGATGAAATTATTTACTTGTAAGCGGCCAGGAATTGAGTGCTAAATCCCTAAGCTTCGGCTGGGTCCTGTCTTGGATAACTGAGCTCAAAGAACTGTGTTCTTGTTCCAGAACCTCTCCAGCATTTTTTCTGACGGCATGCTCCCCCTCCCCCCATCTTTCTGGATGGGGGACTATTGTCAGAGTCTTTGACAGGGAGATCTTTCTAGGGAAGGCTGTTTTTCTAATTCCAGCACGGCTGCTGACTAAACTCTGATAATCTGCCAATAGACTGCTGATGGCAGAGCAATCCAGTTCCTGTTTGGGGTGCCAAAAATCAAGAAGCCAAGGCTGTACACAACACTTCTCACAGGCGCTTGGGCCTCACTCACACCTGCCCTGAACTTGGGGTGTAGAAATTCTCAGTGGTTGACCTTCTCCATTTACCCACCCCACCTTGTATCAAAGAGCCTTCCGAAGCCACAGTCAGCCCGAATCCCAATCCTGAAGCCGGAAGGATACTTGAGGATTCATTTGGGCCATCCCCCTGCCTCCAGACACATGACTGGCCAGAAAAGGTTGTCTGTGCCTCCCCAGAGTTGATTATGCCCTTCTCTAGCCAACTTTCCACTTCGGTGAAAGGCGGAGATTAATGTTGACCTGTCTGGCAAAGTTTGTGGGGACAAATGACTAGACAATAAAATAGTTTACACAGCTCAAGCCCCACCAAAGTGCCTAAGAGCTCCGCGTGTGAATGTACCGCGGAAAGGCTGAGTGTCAGTAATAAACCACGTTTCCCTGGGAAAAGGAATAAACAGGCAGGCGCTTAAGCCTAGATTGGTACCGTCAATTTTGCTGAGGACTTCCCAGTTCTGTGCACTGGACTGGCTTGGCAATTAAGTGCCTTGATCTTGCAGGAGATGGGGGTAGGTTGGGGGTGGGGGTGGAGCACTTGAAAATGATGAGATGGAAGGGAGGTAAGGACTGGGAGAGAGGGTTGTACACAGAATGGAAGAATTCAGGAGGTTTGAGCACGAAGGGGGCATTGTTGATGCTGGCTGGGCTGGCATGGAACCTGGGGGGGAGGGGGCCGAGCAGAGACAGCTGAGGAGCAGGAATGGGATGGGAGCATCAGCCAACTGTGCCTGGCTGTGCGGGAAGAATGGGGCAGCCCAAGGAGGGGACCGCAGCTTCTGTGGAGGTATGGAGGAGGCTAGGGCAGCTGGCGTGCCCAGAGGACACATCAGAGCAGCTCTGCAGACTTCCAGAAGCCATTTGGCTGACAAGAACCTATTTGGCCCACCAAGTTACTATTCTGTCTGCCCGCCTTCCCCAGCCCACCCTTTTCCTGCCCGCCAAGCCCCCCAACACTACTCAGAAGCCCCCCTTTGTCACTCAGCTAATGACATGTGGACATCTGGCTGGAAAACTAGCCCCCAGTGCCCCCTTGAGCCCCAGGAATGGACCCCAAATGTAAGGGCCACCATGCTGCGCCAGCCTGATGGCTGAGGCTCTGGGCAGGTAGCCAGTGCTCAGTACCAGGCCGGTGCCAGGGGGTCTGGGAAGCCAGGAGGGAAGCAAGCAGGGATGAGCAGGCCTGAGCAGGCTGGGAGAGAAGCAAGCTGTGGCCAGATGTGCACTCAGGGAGCTGGGCCTCTGCAGGCAAGCCACACAGCATAGAAAGTCTGTCATCTGGGAGAACCTTGCATTTTCCCAGGGAAGAAACAGGTCCTTAGAAAAGGGACTCGCCCAAGGTCACATAGGAGATTTGTAGAAAACAAACACTTAGAACCCCATTTCTTGATGCCTAACCTGTCACCGCCAGCTGACCTTTCTGATGACCTCCAGCTTCAGAATTCTGCTCCAGACTTGTGAAGGGGAAAGCCCCGCACCCTCTGGGAATGCAGACCAAAGCGTTGGCGCTCAGACCCCAGGTTGTTGGGGCCGAAGCAGCTGCCTGGCTGGGGGTGCTCAGGGCAGCAGGGGGAGGCCCGGTCACTGCAGTGGCTGGCGGAGCCATGGCGCTGCCCGTGCACCAGCTGTCCGACTCTGCGGGAGGGGGAGGGGAGGCCTCCTCTCCAGACTCTATTGATTCTGGCTGCCACTGCTGCTCTGCTGGGTCACAGTGCCATCTAGTGGCCATCCTGACCACTCTCAGGGGACTCAAGGGCCCCTGGAGGGTAGCAGAGCGAGAGTCACTGCTCCCTGAGAATTGCAAGCCCCAACTTCTCCAATGGCGTGGCTTCCTGGAGCCAGGACAGGGTCCTGCATGAGAATTCTGAGAACTGGGTCCGCCAAGGCAGAGGGCCTGGCATGGAACCAGAGGAGGGGGAAGGCAGAAACCAAGGTACCCACACTGCCTCTGCGACCCGGTGACCTTGGGTCTGTCCCTCAGCCTCCCTGAGCACCTTGAATGAGCCAGTTTAGCAGACGGCTCAGAGGACGGGTCCACTGCCACGTGCTGATCGCACCCACCATGCCCTCCAGTCCAGGCAGCAGTGGGCAGATATGAACCCTCCCAGTGACAGCGCACTCGCTTTCACAAGGTGGGTGCTGGAAAATGAAAGGGATGAACGTGGGGCACGCCTGGTACACTGCCTGGCACACGGGCAGTACCAGCTGCAAGTAACAAATACCCACACGCTTCTATCCTGGGGCCCTGACAGAGTGACACCAGGGCCCTCTGCTGGGTGTCTCCTGGCCACAAGGGACGCTGCACTAAGCACAGGGGACATCAAAGGGAAGAAAGGCCACCCTACCCTGGAGGCATTGTGTGTGTGTTCCCTGCCTGACCCCCAGCCCGGGGCACTGCAGTGGTGTCTCCTCCGTGCCCCCCAGCTTTCTTCCCTCCTTCCCACTGGACCCGGTCCCCCCAGGCCTCACTCCCTCCCTGGGAGCCCTGCATTTTGGCCTCACTCTTTGAGGGAGCATCTGCCCAGGCTGCAAGGTGGTGATTAAAGAAGCCTTAAAAGAAATTTGGAAAGAAAATGAAGGTGGATTTATGATGTCGGGTGGGGAGTTTTGCCGTTGGCTGGGAGCAGCGTGGAACAAGCGGAGGGCAGATCTGATTTATAGGAAGTCATTATTGGAGGAGACGGAGAGGCCTGAAGCCCAGCTGAGGCCTTCTGGCACATCCCCATCAGCAGCACCACCGGGGGCCGCAGGGTGGGGGGCCAAGGAGCCTCCCAGTTTCCCAGGCCAGCACCAGCCTTCCAACAGGAGCACAACGGGTCTGACAGCCAGGACCAGGTGGGGCTGGAGTGGCCGGTTCCTCAGCAGGGGCCAGGACCCACAGGGAGTGCCATCAGGGGCCAGCCTGCCAGGGGTCCCCAGAGTCCAGGATACACGGGGACCATTTCCCTAGGGGGGTCAGATGCATTTGAAGACTGTCAGAAAGGGATGCCATTTTTTCTTTTAAAACAAACATAGATATGTTGTAGAATAGAAATGTTATTTTTGTATGCATTTTTCTCAGCTAACACAAGAGATTTTAAAGAAATGTCAAGCCCATGGTGGGTCACTGCGGGCTACACCCCCAACATGCCAGTACAAGTTGCTCCCTGTTGGGAGAGACTTTAGCAGAAATGTTTGAGAAGCAGCCTGGGGAGAGGGCATGTGGATTGGACTGTGACCCCACTGCCCAGTGGCTGTGATTGCTCCTCCTGTTTCCCACCTAGAAAGTGGTACTGGGGGTCCGTCGGGGGTTGGGAAGATGATAGTCAAAAAAATGACACGTTTTACTTAAGAGGAATGGGTTCCAGAGGGACACTGTACAACATGGTGGCTACAGTTAATAATGCATTGTAGTCTTGCAAATTGCCAAGAGGATAGATTTTAAGTGTTCTCACCACAAAAAAAAAAAAATGATAAGTTTGAGGTGATGCGTATGTTTGTCAATCAGCTGGATTGAGCCATTTCACAACGTACACATTCTTTCAAACATGACATACATGAGAAGTCTACAAATGTTTATTTCTTGGTTAAAAAGAAAGTGGTTATGATGAAACATACCTTGGGGTGTTGAGAGACCCATGTGGGGTGCACATGCATGAGGCACGTAGGGCAGAGCCATGGGCACTAGAGGGACTCTTCCTGCCACTCCTGTGCCCGCTCCTCACCTCAAACCGCTCTTTCCAGCCCCCTCGCTGCTGGGGAGTAAAGAGGGACCCCTCTCTCTTGCACTGTCAAGAGGCCAAGGTTTGGAAATCTACCACCCTGGGGACAATGGTGGAGTCTGTCCTGGTGCATCCTGCAGAGCTAGGGCAGGAAGGGAAGGGCTGGAGCACCTTTGTCCAGCACCTTCCACGCCCATGCACTGCAGAGCCAGGTCCTGCCCAGCATCTGAAGCCCACTGAGAGCAACACACACCCACACCAGCTAACTCTGTTTCCAAATCTCCCAGAAAATGTAGGATGGGAAACCGTGTGGCCATCCTGACCTGCACCTCATACCCCCTTCTGTAACCCACCTGCCTCCCGTCTGTCCTAGCCCTACTCTTTTACATTTTGTGTGTTCTTAGCAGCTGGTAGACTTTGGCAACCCTGTTTCCATCAAGATCCCAGCAGACCAATGTCCTGGGCCTAAGTCTGGTGGCTCACGGGCCTCCCTTCACAGCCTCCACAGGGGCAGAGGTTCCCCCACCCACACAGGGCAGGGGACTGAGGCCCCGGAGGAACCACTTCCCAAGTTCCTGAAGCCAGAGAGGCAGAGGCCAGGCAAGAATCTTGAGGCCTTTCCCCAGCACCGGGAATCCCTGTGCTGCTTCATCCATGTGCTCCAGCCCCGCGGCCTTTTCCTTCCTCGCCCCGACCCCATGCTCCCAGAGCCAGTCCATACACAGCCTAGGAGATGAATTGCCCTCACCCAAACCCCACTCAAGTCTGCATTGCCAAAGCACCAGGGTTCAGAGCTCTAGGGGTGCAGTTTGTGAGGACAACCAAGGCTGCCCTGTGGGGCTCCGGCAGGATGGGCAGATCAACAGAGGGAGGGCTGCAACGTGGCAGGAGGAGGTGGGGGCCATGAGGGCCACTTCCTCCTGCCCAGCCTGGTGGGCAGAGCGGGCAGAATTCCTAGGGAGTCCTGGGCAGGGAGGAACATTCAAAGCCCAACAGCATAACAAGGAGGGCTTTGAAGCTTGAAAGTGCTGGGGGAAAATAAAGTGATATTATTCACTCAGCAGGTGGTAAATGGTCCCAGCTAATGACTATGTGGCACCTGACATTTTTGAAGGTAACTTCTAAACACCATCTCACTTAATATTTATGAGAGCCCTGAGAAGGAGCTGTTATTATTAATAGTCTTGTGTCACAGGCAAGAAAACAGAAGCCCAGAAAGGTTAAGTGATGTGCCCAAGATCACACAGCTCAGACTTGGACTTCCTGATCCCCAGTCCTGTGGTCCGGCCCGCCACCAGCACAGCCTCTGAAGTCCCACCCACTCTTTATCCCTGAGAGAAAGTGTTGGCTTCAAATATAAAAAGAAGTCATTGATATAAAGTGGAGTCAACTCCTCGTTAGAACATCATTGTTGAAGGTTAAATGACGGTGTTCCTAACTGCCCCCTGGGAGACCCAGGCAGTATGTGAACCTCAGAAAGAAGAGGAAAAGATGGGCGTAGAGGAGGAAGAAGAGGAGGGGAGAGATCCTGGTGAAGACACTTGCTGACACCTTTGTCTTCGACCTGGCAGGAGGAGTGCGGGCCGCATCCACAGTAGGTGGATTTCATTGGTTTGAAGAGGACTTACATGTCCCTTTGGGAGTAGAGTTTTCTCTGTGACATCAGCAAGGGATACAGACACCAGGCTGCCCCTGCCTCGGAGTCCAGTTTGGACCCCATCCAAAGGTTGCTGGAGCTGATGCCCAAGAGGCTGGCTCCCCGACTGTCTGTCGACTCACCTGCTCCCCAACTGTGCCGCCAACTTGCCAAGAAGGAGTTGTGGGTAACATCTCTGTTATGGTCCGGTTGCCATGGCGATAAATTGCCGCTAATTAGTAGTGTGGTTACCATGGCAATTTTCTAGTAATTACAGGTTACAAATGGAGCAAGGCTTCAACCCAACCCAATTAGTTAATTAGAAAGATTTAGAAATTTGTCCAAAAGGGAAATAACCTGCTTTGTAGAAAATGAAGGGAATGTGTCACCGCCTGGGAGCAGAGTCAGAGAGGAAACTGGAGGATGCCGGAGCTTCCGGGGAAGAAGGGTGGAGTTGCATGGCGGCAAGTCCTGAGTCCCACTTGGGATTGCCTGGGGACCTGACTAGGCCAAGGATTTCTCACGGAAGCTGGCTCCTGGGCTGAGCCTGGCAGGACCAGGGCGGGCACAGCTGCCAACAGCTACTTAGCAGCTCCTTTTTTAATGGGCAGAAGCAGGGCCCAGGTTGAGGCTTGGAAAGAGCTCGGGAGGCTGCCCTGCCCCCCCCACCCCGCGGTGTCTTGGCAGATGCACCCCAGGAACAGGGGGAATTTAGTGTCCCCATCGTCACCTGGGCCATGTGGAGAGCTAATCAGACTTTAGGGGAGGGGTCTAGAGGCAAGGCCCTGAGGTGTAGTGAGTGGTTCCACCAGGAGAGCAGTGAGAGAGACAGCGCCCTTCACCCTACTCTTCCTCCCTGGCCCCGAACTCTAACAGTCAGGCTTCATCTGCGCAGATGAGAAAGGCCCTGTGATCTCCTCCAGGACATCTCGGTATGGAAGGAGCCTAGGAACCCAGAGAGCCCCCTTCTCAAATTAGCATAGTCACTTTGGGGAAACCCCTGACTGGAGGGATGGGGAGAGGGCAGGGCCTGACCCACGGTCACACGGCTCTCATTAACTTTTTTTAAAAATTTATGTTCTGGAGTGCTTATAACCATTCTTATTATTAGAGAATGTCGTCTCATGGTCAGTATAACGTTATACTAGAGAGCTTTACGCTTCAAACTTGAGTGTGCACATGCACCATTCAGGGGTCTTGTTAGGATGTAGGTCCTGATTCCAGGCTCTCCATGCCTGGCCTGCAGGCCTGACTCTGAGCAGCAAGGCTGTAGAGTCTACAAGCTCTTTCATACCTCAACCCATCTTTTTTCATTGACATTTAAAAATGTGTATATTTATCATGCACAACATCATGTTTTGAAATTTGTAGACCTTGCAGAATAGCTGACTTGAGCCACTTAGCAAGTGTTATTTCACATACTTAGCACTTGTTTGTGGTGAGGTCACTCAAAGTCCACCCTCTTAGCAAGTTCAAGTGTCTGGCACATTGTTACTAACTACAGTCACCATGTTGTACAAAAGCTCTCACAAATTTATTCCTCCTGTTTAACTGTAGCTTTGCGCCCTTTGACCAACATCACTTCTCTCCCCAGCTGCCCGCTTCTCCCAGCCCCTGGAGATGACACCATTCTACTCTCTACTTGCATCCATTCTAAGTTTTTAAGATTCCACATTTGAGCCATCCCTTACGGCATTTGTCTTTCTGTGCCTGACTTAGATCACTCAGCATGGTGTCCTCCAAGTTCATCCATGTTGCCACAAAGGACAGGATTTTCTTTTTCCGTAAGGCTGAGTAATGTTCCATTGTATAGACAAATCTCATGTTCCTCACCCCTTCATCTGTTCATGGACACTTGGGTTGATTCTTTATCTTGACTATTGTGAATAGTGCCAAACTGAACATGGCGGTGCAGATGTGTCTTCAACACACTGATTTCATTTCCTTTGGATGTATACCCAGGATCACTGCATCATATGGCAGTTCTACTTTTAAGTTTTTGAGGACCCTCCGTACTGTTTTCTGTAGTGACAGTACCATTTACATTCCCATCAAGAGTACACAAGTATACAAGAGTTCCTTTTTCTTTTTTTAAAATATTTTTTAGCTACACGTGGACACAGTATCTTTGTTTATTCATTTTTATGTGGTGCTGAGGATCAAACCCAGTGCCTCACATGTGAGAGACAAGCGTTCTGCTGCCTAGCCACAACCCCAGCCCCAACAGTTCCTTTTTCTCCGAGTCCTCAAGGACGCTTGTAATCTTTCATCTTTTTGATAATCCTAATCTCACCTCACTTGATCCTCTCAAAAACCCTAAAGAAGAAAAGGCAGGTCAGATTATCCCCATTCTACAGATGAGGAAAATGAGGTTCAAGGATACTTCAAATTGCCCAAGGTCAGTAGAATCAATGTCCTGTCCTGTTTGAGCTGTTTTCTTCTGACACCCACGGAGTGTCAGAGTGGGCCCCATCCTGGTGGTCCCAGTCTTGGGGGCCACACCTGAGGGAAGTTTGCCCAGTACAGCCATGATCTCCTGGGAGGAGGCGGGGCTTGGCAAGCTGAGGCTTTATTTGAAACCTGCTAATGAGAGGTAGTTTTTTCAGGATGCATTAAGGTTGGACTTCTTGTCATGGCTGACTCAAATTTAATCTTGGAGATTTCAAATCCTAATGTAGAGCTGACTTGATTTCTTTCTCTTTAAATGCAACAAATTCTTTGCTGCATTTTTCCTCTCAAACTACAGAAGCAATTCTTCTTAAGACCAACCAAACAGTACTACGACAATGAAAAAGCCACCAACCATCTCTCCTTCCCTTCCCAATCCTACCCCATCAAGGCAGACAGCTTAATGAGCGTGGCCTCCCCAACTTTTCTCCAAACTCCAGCAGGCTGTCTCATACACATGTATTCAACACGTATCTTCCCATTGTTTTAATAAGGGTAAGATCACAAGTGCCGTCACTTGGCAGGTTGCTCTTTCTATTAACAATACATCGCGGGCACTCCTCCAAGTCAATACATATGGATCTACACAGCCTTTCTAGGAGCTACAGAATGAGCCACCATATGGAAGCACCATATATTCAGCCAGTTCGCTATCGATGAACATGATTGCTCACTACATCAAACAAAGCAAAATAAGCATCCTTGTGTCTATAGCTGGCGCCCACAGCTGCTACGAGAGCCTATTTCTGTAGATTCTTAAGGCAGGACCTGCCTGTGCACAACATGGAGTGGGAGTCGGGGCTCTCGGGACCTGTGACTTGGCAAAGATGGCATGGATGGGCTGGTTTTAAGGTGACTGTGGTGCCGCAGCTTCTCTTGGAAGGAGAGGGAATGGCTCTGGCCTGTGTGTGGGGCCCGACCTCTGTGGGCCTTGGTGTGTGGAATCATTCCTTCCATACAGAGTGACCCACTGGACTCCTCCCTGGCCATCCTCAGTGCCGACAGAATCATGGAACTGTGAGCCCAGGTATGGCTCAGGGAAGGATCCAGAAGGTCGGGCTCCCATCCCGCAAGGCTCTTCTGAGGCCCCTCCATTGCACTTCCTCACAGGCCCCAGAGGCAGCCCCATGGTCCAGCCAGGCCTGGGGCTTTGCTTCTGCTGCTCACTGTGGGTCCATGTCCTCTCCTAGGGGGCCGGGGTGTCAGCGTGGGCCCCATCCTCAGCAGCAGCGCCTCAGACATCTTCTGTGACAACGAGAACGGGCCCAACTTCCTCTTCCACAACCAGGGCAACGGCACCTTCGTGGACGCTGCGGCCAGTGCCGGTGAGTGGATGCCCTGGGCCCCTGACCTCCCTGGGCCCCAGGGACTTGAGGCTGCCCTGCCCCCAGCAGCACAGTCCCCACGGACCTCAGGAAAACCAGAGTAAGTCGTCATCAGCACCACACAGAGAGCCTCCAATCCCACATCTCCATGGCTCAGGCCACAGGGGCACTTGCTGCTGGAGAGGAGGAGTCTGGCACTCCTGACCATTGTCACTCTCCAGCAGCTGGCTGGCCATGAGCCTCTGAGTCTGGCTTGTGTCTCCCAGCGTCAGTTTCTCCTCCAAGCCACCTCTTCCGGTCTTGGCCCACTCCCCCACTTAGCTTAAACATTCAGTTCAACCCAATAACCATTTCTAGATCATTTGCTAAGTACTAGGGCATGCTGCCTGGATAAACTAAGTCCACTCCACACATGGAAATGGCACTAACTGGTATATAATAAGAACAGGATGAAATCCACACAACATGGTGCCCGTGGCTCCCAGCTCTGCTGCCCTTTTCCACCCGTTTGACCTCAGGGATTTGCATCTGCCATTCCCTCTGCCAGACTGCTCTCTCCATTCTTTGTCTGCAAAACTTCCTTTAACATTCAACTCGAATGTCACTTCTGTGAAGCATTTCCTGACTCCCTCTGTGCCACCTGGCAGACACTGGCTCTTCCTCCTCCTCTCATCCAGGTTTTCACATTGCCATCACAGTTGGTCTGTGAGCTCTGCAAGGACTGAGACACTGTTCTGCTAAATGACAGAATGGACACTTTGGGAAGTGCCCTTCAACACTTACCCCCTACCCATTTCTTCCCTGTCTTGCTAATGGATGGAAGGTTTGATTTCTTTTTCTTGGAGGTACAGGGAAGAGACCAGTAGGGATCTAGACCCACAGATCAAGGGTCCATCCACTCTAGGTAGTGCCCCAGAGCATCCAGTCCCTAGCCTAGGCTGACCCATGATCCATTCCCTATGAATTAAGTGTATCTATCCCCTCGGCTTCCTGCTTGGGGGTCTCAAGAATGGCCACCCTCCCCCAGCCCGTAGCTGGCATCCCCTGTCCTCACCTTGCATGTTCTCTTTCCCTGGTGCCTCCCACCTTCACCCCTCCTGGTGCCGTCCTGTGGCAGCAGATGTTCTCACTGCTGAGGACTCAAGGTGCAGCGGGGCTGGTGGAGAGGCCTAGAGGATCTGATAAGGTGTCAGGTGATGGAAGCAGAGGGGAGCAGAGGGGCACGGGAGGAGGAGCCGGCAGGAGGAGAGAGGCAAGGTGCGAGGCCATAATTGAAAGTCAGAATGATTGCAGGGGCTTAACAAGACACGTCAAGAGGGCATTCATCACCCCAACAGATGCCGCTGAGAAATGCAGCCCGGCACCGATTAGTCCCGTGAAAGGGAACCAGCTCCTTGTCAAGGTGCCTCATAGATAGGAGAGAAATGGGCCGACACAGAAGGCCACCGACACTCAGGCCGGGGAGTTTTGCTGAGAATTAATGGGGTATTAATCCTAGGGATTGAGGCTGCTCCCAGATTTTGCAAACCCTCTTCCTCAAGCGTGGGCCTCACTGCCTCCCAGGGCACCCCCTTCTCCTGGCTCCCACCCTCAGGATCTCCCTGCTGGCTGCTGCGCCCCGCGCTCTCTGACTGCCACCCCTGTAATATTGTCCTTCTGCCCATCATCCCCAAGGGCCTGCTGACTCCAGCCATTTTTCCACTGAGAGTCAACTACTCAGGCTCTCTGCCTGGCCTCTGGGGCAGGTCCCCGCCCCCCCAGCAGCAGGAGGCCAAGCCATTGCTCTGGGCAGAGCCTCCCCCCTCCTCCCCCATGGTCATCGAATCAGGGGACGATGTACACTGGTGACATTGGACACCAGCTTCCCTTCCAGCTCCGGTAAGACACGCTGTGCGTTTCTTTGTCATGGCTGCAGCATCTCCTCTGCTGTCACCAACATCCCCAGTTTGCCGGCTGTCAAATTATTTATGTCTCTTCATTCATTCAGCAAGTGCTTAGTGAAAAGCCAGGCTGCCGCAGGCACTGAGGTAGAGGATGCGCGCACACAGGTGAGCCAGGAGGACCGACCTGACCTCGTGGTGCGTCAGGTGTGGTGGCAAATGTGGACCCTAGACAAGTAAAACACAAAAGGAACACAACTGCACTGTGGTCAGCACCAGGAAGGAAAGAAGAGGCTGTGAGGGCGTGGCAGGTGGCTGGGAGGGGCTGTTTTAGATGGGGTGGTCAGGAAAAGCTTCCCTGAGGAGGTGACCTTGTGGCTGAGAGCAGAAAAATAAGCAGCGAGGTACCCAGAGCCTGGGGAGGCACTCAAGGGGGAGAAACCAGCTTGAGCAAAGGCCCCAAAGCTAGAAGGAGCTTGGTTGATTTGAGGCGTGGAGGGAACACCGTGACCAGAGCTTGGGAAGGCGAAGAATGGTACCTGAGAAAGACCAGCGAAGGTGGGCCGGCACCATCAGGCAGGGCCGGAAGATCCCCAGGCGGGAATTCACACTGACCCAAGAGCCCTGGGGAGCCCTTGAGAGATTTAAGAAAAAGAGTGATGTGATCTGCTTAACACTCCCCTGTGGCCATGCGGGAGTGGCAGGGAAAGACGGGCCCACCCAGAATGCCCCCCACGCTCCCTCCCCACACCCATGCTGTCCCAAACTGATCAGGCACAGGAAGCATGCTTGCCGGGCAAACACAGCCTGAAGACATCTTGCAAGCAGATGTCAGGGTCACCTCCTGCCCCATGGAGAACTTGTGAGAAGCAGCAATGTCTTCCTATGTCCCTGGGAGGGCAGGGACAGGAGGAGAGTGTGGAAAGTAGGGGACGCCACCCCTAGGATCCTGCCTCTGTCCTCCCCAGGTGTGGATGACCCTCACCAGCACGGGCGAGGTGTCGCCCTGGCTGACTTCAACCGTGATGGCAAAGTGGACATTGTGTATGGCAACTGGAATGGCCCCCACCGCCTCTATCTGCAGATGAGCTCTCACGGGAAGGTCCGCTTTCGGGTAAGAAAGGGCTTCTGCCTCTACTGCTTCCCCTACAGGACATTGCAGAGTGGCCCCAGCAAGGCATGTCGTCGGAGCTGCGGGGCTGCCCTGGGCCTCTAGCCCCTGGGGACGAGATCCCAGAAGGTAACATGCAGGGGATGATGGGCTGCAGTCTGGGCTTGGTGGAGACTGGAGCCCAGAGCAGAGTGGACCATGGAGGCACAGCAGCCTCCAGGGGAACCTGGAGCCACCACGGCGGGGGGGAGGGGCTCATTCTGTGGATGGAGGCCACTGTTCCTGGGGCTTCTGGAAGACTGAGGTTCAGACCCAGGACAGAGTGGCAGGGAGAGGGGGAAGTTGAGGCCACGGGTTCCCAAGACTGCCTCAAGGACAGAGAGATGGTGGACAGGGGACAGCAAGTCCCTCCCTGCAACAGGCCCTGGGCTGCCATGAACTGTGATGCCAAGAACTCTTCCAAGGGGCTGCTTGGTGGTAGTGACAGAGGTGCCACCAGCAGGGTGAGGCTTTCTGCAGGAAGATCACAGAGGGCCCGGGATCATGGAAGCTGACCTCGGGGAGCCAGGATTGTTCTGGAGCTATTTAGGCCTTCCCAGAAACTCTCAGGAGAATGAGAACGTTCCAGTGTTTTTCTGAGGCTTTCTGGTCCCAGGAAAGGCTGTGTGACCGTGGAGAGGCCCCCACCTCAAGCCCCTGCCCTGGTCCCCTTCCTGCTGAGGCTAGAGCCCCAAGCTGTCAGGTGGGAGGAGGTCTGCCCTGGACTCTGAGCCTTTGTTCCTGAGATGCTGGAGATTTCCACCTTTATTCAGCTCTCGTTCTAACCCAGCTTCTCAACAGAGAGGGGTTTGCCCTCCGCACCCCCCACCAGGACTTTGGACCTTATCTAGGGACATTTTTGATTGTCCCAACTTGGGGAGGGGTAGCACTAGCATCTCATGGTTAGAGCCAGCCATGCTGCAGAACCTCCCGACGTGCAGGACCCCCAGCACGACACAGAATCATCCGGCCCCAAATGTCCACGCGCTGAGGTTGAGGAACCTGTTAACCTTCTGAGGCTCCGCAGAGCTCCCAGGAGCAATAATGAGGATAATAATAATGAGTGCCCCATTTATCAAGTGCCTCCCGTGTGCCAGGAACTGTGCTAAGAGCTTTACATACATTATCTCAGAAGCCCAGGCGTCCAGCGGGCAACCCCAAGAGGGCTATGAAGGTTTCCATTTTTATAGGATCGATAGAACAATAAAGAGTTAGAGATCCTGAGGTCTCCTTGTTCCCCAGCAATTTGGGGCCTGCTCAGCCCACCTGGACCAGCTGGCGGGCTCCTCATCAACCTCATTACTGTGCTGCTGGGGGCAGCCTCCCTCCCTGGCCTCCTGGAACAGGAAGCTCACCCGCTGATCCAGCCTGCTCCTGCCTGTGTCCGACAGAGCACGCCTGCAGGAGGACAAGAGCCAGGCCTAGGGGCAGAGGGGCCTCGCAGAGACCCCGGCCTTCTCCATGAGCCCCTAGGGATTTGGATAAGCCCCCAAAGTCATGAAAGGGCAACCCCACCCACATGGGGAAACTCTGCTCAGAAACATAAGGTCATCTTCTATTTCAGAGGCAAAGCCCCACCCAAGACCCTTCGCCAGACTCACAAGACTCTGCCAGCACTTGGGGGTTCTAACTGAGCTATCCTGAGTCTGGGGTCTCCCTATGAGGTCCGTGTCACTAAACTGCAACTTCCTCAAAGCAGATGTCTCAAAACAAAAGAATCCTTAAGGCCTCCCCTGAGGTGGAGCATGGGCTGGCCCAGGGCTGTCAGTGGACAGTCACCAAGTCGCCTCCCTAGAAAGGCAAAAGAAGCAGAGAAAGTCACAGCTAAATGCCACCTTTTGCCTCCGTGGAGCAGATGGCCAGGCCGAGGCAGCCCGGGTTGCCAGCAATGTGTCCTGTGCCCGCTCTGTGCCAAGCATTTGACATGCAGTCCTCATAGCCCAGGCGGCTCTTAGTATCCCCATGTTGCTGATGAAGAAAGTGATGTCCAAAGGGTTAAGTGACTTGCCTGAGGTCACACAGCTAGTCGGAGACGGAGCCTGCATGGGCCAGGCAGTTTCCAGTGCCTTCCCAGCTCCCTGCTGTCCCCTCCGCTGACCTCACCCCTCTCTCCTCCAGGACATCGCCTCCCCCAAGTTCTCCATGCCCTCCCCTGTTCGCACTGTCATCGCTGCCGACTTTGACAATGACCAGGAGCTGGAGATCTTCTTCAACAACATTGCCTACCGCAGCTCTTCAGCCAACCGCCTCTTCCGGTATGGACCCCAGCCTCGCAGCTGGAGGGTGGAGGAAAGGGTTGGGAACCAGAGGAGGTTCCCAGGGCCAGAGAGTCAGAGCCCAGGGGGAGAAGGACCCTGGTGACAAACAGAAAGGATGGGAGGACGGGGACTGAGCAAGAGGTTTCGTGTGTAGAGGGAAAACCCTGAACAAGACTCAGGCGTCCGCTATTGTCAGGAATTGGGTAGAGAGGACATGGACCAGGGCGTGCCCCGGGTTAAGCAGAGACAGGTTGATTTAACAGAGACTTCAGAGAGCCCATAACAGGGCCGTAAGTGTTTCAACTTTCCAAAAGATGGGTGGAGTGTTCCGACTAGATCTGACCATAGGATCCATAGGATGCATCTTTCAGATAAACTTCTCATGGGATTGGTGCCCGGGGAACATTCTTTAGGAAACACTGGAGGAGAAAATTAACAGTAGGGAAGGAACAGGTAGCTTCAGAAACAGAACGAAGCAGCCAGCTCCTGAACATCCTGTCCAGGGAGAAAGAGTTTAATTTCTGAGGTGACACTTCTTGCAGGGAGGAAGGTGTGATGTGGACAACATTGGCTTCAGAATCATCCAGGGGGCCCTGGAACCCCTTTAAGGTACAGAATCCCAGGGCCAGGACCTGTACTTCTACAAGGGCAGCAGGCACCAGGTGACCAATCACAGTAAAATTTGGGAACCACTGCTGGAGACAACCATAGGCCTTGCGGCCCGAGGCATCCCTGTGCCAGCCCTAAAACACGCTGATGAAGCTCAGGACCAGAGAGAAGGGTGGGCCAAAGGTTTTGGAGCCAGGAAATGGGTCAGATCATTGCTTGGCCCAGCAGATCCCTATCCCACTCTCAGAAGGACCCAACTATTAATAAAAGGCATGAGCTGTGACTAAGCATGTTTTAAAATATAATTATTAACCAATCATCAATCCTGACTATATGTAATCACCCCCCAAGGCACCAGATTTACTAATTAGGTGCCTTGCAAAAAGCTTATTCACAACTTCCAGATTAATTGCAGAAGATCAATTGCTCGTTAACAGAGAGACACTACTTTCCTTCTCTGGCTAATAAAGTGTCACTTGCCAGGGCCCCTAAGCACCCAGGAGGCCAGTGCTCCAGTCTCTGTGGCCTAAGAACCCAGTATCTCCCTGCTGCTTGCCCTTGCTGCCTGCTTTAAACCTCCCAGCCTCCCCTGCGGCGGAGCATGGGCTGGCCCAGGGATGTCAGTGGACAGTCACCAAGTGGTCCCCCTGTGAGGTAGTGTGTTTGCTTTCATGCAGAGGCAGCAGAAGCCACCTCCCTAGATCCATGGCTGGGCCCCAAGTCCCAGTGGCAGATGGCTGGGTCCTGAGCACATAGCTCAGGGACTACAGCTGGGACTGCTGCTCAGCTGGCAGCACAGGAAGTTTAACCCCACCTGTCCCGTGCTGTGCCGGCTCTTCACCTGTCACTGAGCAGAATACCTTGGGCTTCTTGAGCCCAGTGCTGTCCTGTAGCCTGGCCAAGCACTGGGGAAGGAGAGCCTCATGTGCTCAAGTCTGAAAGTCCTTTAATGATACCTAGGGCAATGTGTCACCCAAAGCAGACCCAAACCCAAGAGAAGGGGACTATGAATAATCACCCCAAGCCAATAAAGACAATAGGCATGAACAGGGACTCTTTTAGGCCACCTGGGGTGGGGTGTGGTCCCCCCACTCATGCATGCCTCAGGTCTGTTCTCAACTCTCCCCACACCCTCATCTCTTAGGGATCCCTGCACCCTCTCCAGCCCCATCCTGTCCAGCCTCAGCAGCACAGCAAGCTGTTGAAATGCAAATCTGAGCACACCCCTCTCTCCACTTCTTTCAGATAAGGTCCCCAGCCCTTCATTCTCCACTGCTCCCTTTACACTATGCACCAGACACCCTGGGCTCTTCTGGGCATGCACACTGCCCACACCAGCAAGGGCCTGTTCCCTCTTCTTTACCTGAGTGGCACATACTCACCTACTCACCACCATTCTGGTCTCAGCTGGGCTGCCCTTCCTCTGGGAAGCCTTCCAAGACTGTCCTGGTTGGAGTAGCTGGCCCCGCTCTGCACTCCCCTTGCCAGCCCCTGTTGACACAGACCAAGCCCCATTCTCCCCAGTGGGCACTGTACCCCCGAGCCCCATTCAGTGCCCAGCACAGGGACGTTGGTACAACATTCGTTCACTGAATACATAAACGCCTGGGTTTCTCCTGAGGAATCTTTAACATCAGTGTCACCTGAACCAAGAGGTGTCTCTGCCAAGCCATGGCAGAGCTGCAGCACATAAATGATCACAGGGGCTGTGGGTATCAGCAGGCTGAAGTGTCACCCCTCAGCAGGTGCACACACACCCAGGGACACTTACACACAAGTCCACTGGGTTACTCTGATGTACACGCAGAGGAGCTTGACATAGGTGCCCATGTGGACAGAGGACACCTCATGGGATCTGCACAACCCTGCAGGCACCTTGCAGGTCGGCCAGCTCTCTCTCTGCTATCCGGCCACCATAGGCTTCAGACAGGGGGCCCTGGCCCCCTCCTGAAAGTACCGGCCACATCACAGCCTTCTGTTGGCTGTCTGTGCTTTGGCAGACTCTTCCTGCCCCTGCCGTCCCCCATTGCTCTACACAGCGAGGGCAGAGTACCCACGGCTGCGAGAATATAATGAGTGAGGAAAGTCAGAGAGGGAGGCTCACTGACACCAGCAGCAGTCAGCTTAATATGGCTACAGGGAAGGACTTTGACAGCAGACTTCCCAGAGGTAAATATGTATGACCAAGATTTGCAGTTCAAAACAGACAGAACCCCCGCAACCCAGAGGGACCCCTTTCCTCCTGCTGGCCCCTGGAATTTACTCTCACATCCCACAGACACCTGCTTGGAGCTTTCTAAGAGCCAGGCACTGTGTTAGATGCTGCAGGAGAAGCAGAGATGAATAATGCAAGGTTCCAGCCTGCAGAGCGCTGCTCACAGAACAACTGGGGAGCTAAGATGCTCTCACACGGAGCATTAACACAGGAAGGAAGCGCCAAAGGCCAGGAGAAGGGGCTGGCTTCCTTAGGAGGATGGGGGAGGGGGCATCTGCATGAAGCTTGGGCCCTGGTAGCATCCAGGACTAGGAAGCCCAGGGCCACTTGGAAGAGCACGAAGGTCAGTTGAAGGTAGTTGTACCCCCTGCCCTTCTCCATCCGTCAACTGCCCTTCCCCAGGCTGTCTATAATTCATCCATTAGAGAAGGAAAAATCAATATTTGCCAACATAAATTAAATCCCAAGAAGGGAACGGCCACGGTGTAAGCAGGGTTTGTGATCAGAGAGTGGCTGCATGAGCATCCCGTGGCAGTCCATGCACATGGGGCCTGGGGCTGCTCAGGGGACAGGACAGAGCTGGTGGGTCTCTGGATCCCAGGCCTCTGGGGCCTCACCATAACCAGCCTGTCTCTCTCCTTCAGTGTCATCCGCAGAGAGCACGGAGACCCCCTCATCGAGGAGCTCAATCCTGGTGACGCCCTGGAGCCTGAGGGCCGGGGCACAGGTGAGGGCACCAAGGGCTCTGGCCTGTACCCCGCATCCTGGCTCTGCCTATGCTCTGGGTGAGGGCAGGTGGAACCAGGCAACCAATCCCACCGTCGGGCTCCTCCCCTCCTTGCCGCTCTGAAGGCTGAGACCCAAGAGCTGGGGTGAGAGCAGAGAGGGAGGAGCCCTGGGGACTGCCAGGCAGAAGGCAGAGCGGGGACAGTCCCTCTTCCAGACTCAGGACAGCAGGCAGCGGGGTGGGATTCTCTGGGTGTGTGGGCAGCAGCTGTCCAGCCAAGCCTTGCAGGGTGAGAACGGGAAGGGGTGAGATGGGTCCCTTTTGCTCTGAGGAAGGGGATTCTGTGTGTGACCCCTCTTGGCACTCAACTTGGTGTCAAAGAGCACTAGACCAGGTGACCCAACACCTGGGTCTGCTGTTGTCTCACTCTGTGGTTTTGGTAAAGCTGCTTTGGTTTCTGGGTCTTGTTTTCCACATCTACTAAATGGATATCATCTTATCTTCCCTGCCTCGCCTTTCTGTGTTATAACAAGAACTGAAACACTGATAAATTAACCCCCAAAATGTGCAAATGTTAAGGTATATTATCCAAACCAGAACAGAAGGACCAGTGTGTGAGTGACATGCACCCACCTGCTCCATGCCACATCCAGGGGAGGGGAGGGAGGTCCTGCGCTGTGAATCCTATTCTGAGCTGGCCATCAGGCAGGGGAGAGAGGAGCCTGGAGCCCTGTCCTCCTGTCGCAGAGCTGTACCCTTTCTCTGCCTCCCACCCTCAGAGCTGTGGTTGCTGTACCTGGCCGGGTGCCTCTATCCCCCAGGGGTCTGCTGGCCTAGGCCAGAGGTAAAATCTGCATTGCTTGCAGGGGGCGTGGTGACCGACTTCGATGGAGATGGCATGCTGGACCTCATCTTGTCCCACGGAGAGTCCATGGCTCAGCCACTGTCCGTCTTCCGAGGGAATCAGGTGTGCATGGATCTCATGACCCATAGATCCCAGCCCTGTGTGCTCCCCTGGACCCAGCATGGATGAGGGCAGGGCAGCCCAGGAGGCTTGCTGGCCACACATGTGCTGGGAAACGGAAATCCCAGTCCCTGGAGAAGCAAATACATTCCTGGCTGCCCAGTGGACCTCAGGAAGGGTCGCCTCCAGGGAGAAGCCCTCAGCCTCTCACCTGCTGCACTCACTTTTCTGCCCAAACTGTTTTTCCTGAGTCTCTTGCTTTCCCTCCTCTTGCAGGGCCTTTCTTTCCTCTCCACCCGTCTGTCTTTGCCTTGTTCTTCCTCTTCCTCTGCCCTGCCTCCGCCCCGGTGCCTCTCATCCTCCCCATCAACCGTGGCCTTCCTGTTATCCCTCGTGCTCTGACTCCAGGTCTGCCCTTCCCTCCCTGCAGGGCTTCAGCAACAACTGGCTGCGAGTGGTGCCACGGACCCGGTTTGGGGCCTTCGCCAGGGGCGCCAAGGTGGTGCTCTACACCAAGAAGAGTGGCGCCCACCTGAGGATCATCGACGGGGGCTCGGGCTACCTGTGCGAGATGGAGCCTGTGGCACACTTTGGCCTGGGTGAGTCGGGGCCCAGTAGAGAACAGGGAGCGGGTCCTGGAGTCCTGCAGCATGCCACCTGACGCGAGGACTCATAGCCCGAGCATTTTCAGGGTGCCATTTCACTGTGACAGCATGGTGGACACCAGCCACCAGAGGCAAACCCTGCTCTGCTGTGAGCCTGGACTCAGGGAGAAGGGGTAGGGAAGGCTGCCCAGGATTCCATGTCCCTTGCTTTCAGAAGTCCCCACTCCAGGACCTCTGGAATGTTTATCTTCCATTTTTCCAAGGTCATAGCCTTGGTCTTCATGTGCTGGTCTGCATCAGACTTGCCCAGAGCAGTCCCTCCCTTGGCCTCTTGGGAGCTGGTTCAGTCTTTAAGGTGCCACACTAAAACCTGGTGTCTTCCCTCCAATAGAGCCTGGGAGCCCTGTGTTCTCATAGGGAGCCAGGTGACCTGATGGGGTAAAAGCTGGCTCTCAGCCAAGGAGGGGGAATGAAAAAAATCTGATCTTTTTATGTGTATAAAACCACACAAAGACACACACACACACACACACACACAGCATGCCTACGGCATTACTAGATGATGCTATCATCTATTTGAGCATTGAAAGTGCAAAATAGTAACAATACCAAATGCTGGTGAGGATGTGGAGATCTCTGAGAGATGAGAGAAACTGGCTGTCTCCCACATGGCTATGCAAATGTAACTCACACCACTTCTGAAATAGTTTGGCAGATTCTTTAAAAAAGAAAAAAAAAAACTAAACATGCAACTATTGTACATTAGCCTGCTGTTACAGGTGCTCCTTGACGACAGGAGGTTCTGCCCCAATGCCAACACATCATGAGTTGAAAGATTACAAATGGAGAATGCATGGAACACACCTGGCCACCGAGCCTACCAAACATCTGGGCTCAGCAGCACAGGGCACTGAGAGCACCAGGTGTTCCCCTCATGATCATGTGGCTGACCAGCAGCCCCAGCCCACTGCTGCTACCTGGCATCAGAAGAGAGCCTCATGCTGCATGTACTAGCCAGGAGAAAAATCCAAATCCAAAATTCAAAGCACAGTTTCTACTGAGTGCCTATCACACCATCATAAAATAAGAAAATCATTAGTTCAACCATCGTAAGTTGGGGACCATCTATATATCCCCAGACATTTATCTCAGCAGAATGAAAACTTAAATCCACACAAGTCTTTACACTGTTGTTCATAGTAGCTTTATGTTTAATAACAAAAAAAAACAGAGAACATAGATGTCCTTCAGTAGACTAATGGTTCAACAACCTGTGGTACATCCACATCCTGGAATATTACTCAGCAGGGAAGAAATAAAGCATTGATACAAAGCCTAGGGTAGACCTCCAGGGCACCATGGTGAGTGAGAAGAGCTCATCTCCCAAGACAGCATGTGTCCCTTTACAGAACCCTCCTGAAGTGACAAAATCAGAGAGCTGGAAAACAGATTGATGTTCCAGGGTGAGAGATGGCAAAGGGGAAGAGTATAATGACCAAGGGACCACTCTGTAGTGAGGGGGCCGTTCTGTTATCTTGACCGTGGTGATGCTGCCAGTCCACACGTGTGTTAAATGACATAGAACTATACGCACACGAGGCCCCATGCCAGGCTCTTGGGTTCCATATGGTCCAGTTGTTACGGAAGCTGTAACCATTCGGCAGCTGGGTGACAGGCACAGAGGACCACTCTGTACTTCTTGGTAACTTGCTGAGAATCTCCAATTATTTCAAAATAAACCTTTTTTTTTTTTACAAGAAATGCATGGAGGGATTAGAAATAAAAGTGTACAAATTCTTCAGGGCTGCAGGGCTTATGATAATGGAAATCAAGGTGGAGAGCATGGGGGCAGGGCGGGAGTAGCTGCTAAAACACAGGAATTAAGAAAGCAGTTGAGTCAAAAGACTCCCAGGTTCAAACCAGACACCTTTCTGTGTGTTAGCACCTCATGAAGTGATATGATTTTAACATAAAAAGATTAGGCAAGATGATCTGATATAAATGATCTGAAATAAATGTATGTCAGTGCTAATGTTATACATGTGCTGTATGTGCATAGGAAAAACTAAAAGAACATAGGAGGCAGGGGCAGGGCTGTCCTCTGAGAGGCTAGGTCCCTGCAGTAACTCCCACCCTGCAGGCAGGGCTGGGCCCTGGTTCTCATTGCCTCACTTAGTCCTTGTGACTATCCTGAGATGGGCATTACTGTCCCCGTTTGACAAACCACAAAACAGAGGATCTGGACAATTAAGAAACGGGCCCCAGGTCACGTGTTACTTACATGGCAGAGCTGGGATTCAAACCCGGCCTGCTTGGAGACATAATTTTTATTTTCTTCCGTGTTTTGGTGTATATGTGTTCCAGTTTTTATAGGGAACACACAATATTTATGTAGTCTGAAGAAGAAGCAATAAATATTTAGGGGCCCCAGGACCTGGTTATATGAGCATGTTCTTGGGCTATGGCACCCTGGGTGGGTCAGGGCATCCATCACCTCTAAGGCACGGTGTGCTATGCTGGCCTTAAAGGTACAAGGCAACTTTTAAATACATACTCCTCTTGCAAAATAGTATTAGTCAACATTTATGGAGCACTTAGTATGTGCCGGGCACTGGGCCAAGTGCTTTGCATAAACTGTTTATTCAAATCTCATCACAACGTGATGAATTAGGCATCGTAACCTGCATTTTACAGGACAGGATACTGAGGCTGAGATTTGGTGACTTGCTCTAAATTGTGCCTGGAGAAGTAAGGAGGGCTGGACTTGACCTCCTTGGACACTCTGGTCTGAGTTGCTGACCACAGTGACCACCCCCTCCTCTCTGGGTACGGCCAGCCAAGATCCTGCTCTGTTTCTTTCTTTCTATACATCTGCATCCCCTCAGTGACTCGGGGGCGGGGGCAGGTGGGCATTGAAGCACCAAGGTGAGCACAATAGTTTCAGAAATGGGATGTTCATCCAGGTATTTGCCTTGATATCAACTCCCACCCCATTGGACAGATAAGGAAATTGAGGCTCACAGAGCAAATCAATGGTGAGGCCAGGATTGGAACTAAGGTTGCTGTCCCCAGGTCCCATGGCTGCCTTTGCTGTTTTAGGATGTATGTCACAGGCCTCCCTGGGTCCCTTCTCTAGCCAGAATCCGTCTTTCCACCCCTAAGAGAATAGACCTGCTTCCTCAACTGCAGCCTCAACAGGTCATTTGGTGGGATCTAGGGTACTTGGGAGCCAACTGTCTCCTATACCCAGGGTGATGTCCACTGCACCCTCCTGATGCCAGTCCTCACTCTTTTTTATGAGGCTGGTGGTTGGTCTGCACCCAGGAAGGGCAGGGACAGTGTGCAGAGGAACTGTAGAATGTGGCCAGGGGCTCTGCTCTCTGAAAGTGGGTCCACTGAGAAGAGAGGGGTCTACAAGACACACTGAGGACTCTGTACAACTGAATGGGCCCTGGGGGGACCCCTGGAGGACAGAGCCACAGCAAGGTCCCTGAGTGTTCTTGGGCCACATGTTGCAGGCCAGGCTCTGGCAGGGAACTGGGAAGTGCACGTGAGGGTCCCTGGGATTTGTTCTTGGTTTGAACTCTGGTTCAAACTGCTCCAGAGGGTCCTCCAGCAGTTCCTGTCTTCTTCAGGGTTTGCTTCCCAGAGAGGCACTTGAAGGAAGATTGTTCTCAAACACAAGCCCCTGCAGGTCAACTGAGATCAGCAAGGGCTCCCGAGGCAGCCCAGCAGGCAGCAGGGCCAGCAGACCTGGGACTCAACGGCAGCAGGCAGGCTCCATCCCTGCAGCTCCAAGGCTTCCTACAGCCCCCGGGGGAATCTCCTTTATGGATACCCCTGATTGATGGGGAAGCCAGCAATGGACCGGGAAGAGAGGGAGCTGGTGGGGAAGGCCAGATATTGAGGAAAGATGGAGACAGAAATGAGACATGGGGAAAAGGAAAAAGGCAGAGACTGGGGGAAGAGGTAAGAATATTACCTGCCCTCCAGGTGCATGGGCCAGTGGAAGGGGCAGGTGGACCAAGGGATTTGTGCAAGACAGATTTAGATGCACCATCATACTGGTCCAGGGATATTGAGAGAACCAGGGACAAGAGAAACTAATTTTTTTTTTTTTTTTTTTTTTTTTTTTGTGGTGCTGGGGATTGAAGCCAGGGCCTTGTGCATGTGAAGCAAGCACTCTACCAACTGAGCTATATCCCCAGCCCAAGAGAAACTAATTCTGTGCCAGGCTGCATTCTCAGGGAAGTGGATGGAATTAGGTCTATAAGTATGGCAGGAATCTAGAAGGCATGCGCAGGGACTGAGAAGAGCATTCTAGGGACCAGGCTGACTGGACAAAGGCCCAGAGGTGGGAGTGGTCAGTTCAAGAAATGAAAGCCTGGAAAAGGAGACCTGACCAAGCTGTCTGTGATCTCTGGGGCCAATCTGGAGAGGGCAGGATGGACAGAGGGGTGTCTGCAGAGCCAGGAAGATCGAAGCCATCATTGCCGTGAAGGGACAGTGCTGTCAAGGGACCCGCAAGCCAGTAGCACAGGCCATGTTCCCATACCAAGAATCCTGAGGTGAGAGCAGCATTGCTCTTGTTTTTAGAAAACTTTTTGTTCTCTTTCCTACATATCGATTATAGGAACATGAGAAAATATATCATACAAAAAGAAGTAAAAATCACCCACCATCTCACCAAGTGTGTTTGGAATATTAAGTAAAAAATAAACATTTCTCCCTTCACCCCTCCCCTCACACCTTCTGATTCATCTATTCAGTTCATATTTCCTGACACCTACTATGTGCCAGATGGTGACCAGACAACAGTCCTTGTCATGAGAGCTTTTGTACTCTAGTGGAAGGAAGAGAAATGTGGAATATATAATAAACATCATAAATAGGTGAAAATCTAAAACATTAGCTCATATCAAGTGCAATGAAAACAGAAAATGCCCTGGACAGGAAGGGATCAGGAATGGAGAGGGGGAGGACAAGTAATGATT